TCAAATGTTCATCAATCCCTCTCGTTTGATGTGTTGACTTCACATACTTTATTTTTGAAAATGTTTGCTCACAGACATAAGTTGTTCCATGCATGCTGCAAACGGATGCCAACTCTTATGTTATCTGAAAGTCCAAATCGACACAACAAATGAGAAGTTGTAATAGAACAGTAGACTAATCCAGTGCCAGAGAATACCACATCAATTTCCTAGCTTTCTCACTTATCTGTAGCATTATGTTCTTTCCAAATTCTTCTGTTCTCAGCACAAATGAACTTGCCAAAGGGCTGTTAGTTCTAATTTTTAATGTTCCCCTATGTTTCCAACACTCCTCTTTCTTTCACCCATTTAAAACCCAGTTTGTGGTAGTTATCAGACTATAATATTTTAGCGAGAAAATGCTTAATGGTAATTGATTCTTATTTTAGTAGTTAACTTTTTTGGCGCCAGCTTAACTCGATCCCACTAGGCACTGTGATGCACTGTATGCATTTTACATACACTAAGTTTATTTATTTACTATTAAGATAACGTATTGTACGATTTTGAGACGATATTGTACAATTTTAGGAGTTTGAGGGTAAACAGTTCTGTAATAAACAAGAAAATCTAAATACAATAATTTACAATTGAAGATGGTAAATTAAGGCACATAGCAGCCAGGAGGTATCCGCACCTGTGAAGATCTCCTAGTATTCTAAGTTCAAGTACCCTCGGCGGGCCGAATGAACTGGCCTCGCGGGCCGTAGTTTGGTGACCCTTGCTATAGATGAATACATTGCCTTCAGGTTCTTTATTAGGTCATTTCAAAAAGTAGTTTGATCCTGTGTTGTCATATTATATGATGTAGATAGGCCTAGAGTCTAGAGCAGTGGTTCTCAACCTTCCTAGTGCCGTGACCCTTTAATACTGTTTCTGGTATCGTGGCGACCCCCAGCCACACAATTATTTTCGTTGTTTCTTCATAGCTGTAAGGATATGTGTTTTCAGATGGTCTTATGCAACCCCTGGAAAAGGGTCGCGAAAACTCCAAAGGGGTCGCGACCCACAGGTTGAGAACCGCTGGTCTAGAGCAGGGGTCGGGAACCTATGGCTCGCGAGCCAGATGTGACTATTAAGGGCTTGATCTGGCTCGCAGACAAATGTTTGATTATTTTAAAAAAGTTGCATTAATGGTAAGAAATACTCAACAGCATATTTATTAAGAAGAATTCAGAGAAATAATTATTGCATTCTTAGTGTTGAAATTACACAAAATGCACAAATTTACTTGAATTTTTAGTTTTAAACATTATGTATGGCTCTCACAGAATTACTTTTCAAAATATGTGGTGTCCGTGGTTCTCTCAGACAAAAAGGTTCCCGACCCCTGGTCTAGAGCAATTTCTATAAAGTCCAAATTAAACGTGAACACAGTATCAGTTGATATAAGTAACAAGGCTGAACATGACAACATGTTAAGTCACTTTAAAAAATTCATTGAAATATTTAATTTGCATTTTTAGGATTCTTGCAAAGTCATGATTATTTAACAATAAAAAAATATTTTTTAAGACTATGAGTCATGACTAAGACTGAGTAGTGTAGTCAAACTGATACTCATAGTTCATACTCTTTTATTCATCATACTAATTACTAATTGGCTGTTTTGTTGTTTTTTTTTGGGGGGGGGGGGGGGTTTGGCAAGTACAAGACAAAAAATTTAATAAATATGTATGTATTTATTTATGTGCTGAAACTTGCCTAAAATCAGAGAATGTCATGTAATTAATATTTCCATTTGTGAATTTGTTTGGACTTGGATCAATAAAATTAAAACTTAAAATAATCTTATTTTAAGTTTATCTTATTAATAATAATAAAATAATTTAAAGTTATTGGTGGTTACTTCTATTGCTTTAACTTTAGTACCGGTACTACTAGTACAACTAGTCTAGATTAGATACACTACTAGTATACTAGAGTAGTTAACTAGCTAGCAGTTATTATAGTATAGACAAATAATAGTACAGTCACAGTAATCAGTAAGTAGTTAAGGCTAAGACCTGGGCCTATTTATTATATTATATTTTTCAGTGTTGACCTTACACAACCCATTAAAAGTAATGCTCCTGATGCAACTTACCATTGTAACTGACCCGTCCACAATATGCATATCACAAACTATCCAGAAAAATAATTAAATCTAAATATCCAAAATTACCTTGTTTCTCTCATTGCTTAGTAAACGTAAATGGAATCCTCCGAAGATCGCAGCGTAGAAAGAGTAAACAAAAATGGTGGATCATGTGGCCAGATTTACAGTGAATTGTGGGAAGAAGTCTATCGGTGAACTTCGTACTTTGAAAATAGGCCAATCATGTTCCACTTCGTTTACTTCGTGCTGGTCCGATCATGAGGAATTTAAGGTTTTTTTAAGTTCGTAACCGCTCGTAAGTAAACAGAAACGCACGTGCTACCTTCAGTGCTCACCAATCCTATCCGCCCACTGGCATAGAAAGGGTCGGTTTGAAAGGGAGGGGGGAGTTGTCTTTTTATACAGGACTGGTAGAGGGGGGCAGATATCACCGGGAGCCAGACTAATGGGGGCGCCAAAATGGGCCGTTATTCGTGAAAATAATGTGTTTCGGGATGTGGGCGTAAAAATGAAGCTTGTCCGGAGTCACTCTAGCTACGCCTCAGCGGCATCCCTTCAATGTGTCCTGTCCGCCTATCCGTTTTAATTGCAACGAGGTGGGTCTTCTGATAATTGATTTGATATAGGCTACCTCTTGGTTTGTACGAATTCCCCGCCAATCATTATCTAACACTTGACCATATATTTTTTGAGGATTTTCCTCTCCCAGCATTGAGCATTTCTTAAGCTTTATTTTAGTGTCACGTGTTTTGTGTTATCATCGTAACATTAAGTGGTCCTCAGATTATTAATGAAAGACAAAAGAACCAATTAGAGACAGTAACACAGAGAGTAACATTGAAGGGATAGGCAACAGCTAACGAGAAATTCAGTAAACATTTACTTTTCACACACACATACATACACACACACCAACAAAATGTTGGAACGAACTTAAGAAGGGAAAAAAAAAACGAGTATTTTCCTACCTAATTATGTGGGTACCGGTATAAAATCGTATAAATACAAACAGTATTAAATGGTAGACCGGTCTGGGTTTGGTAACAAGAAATAAATAGCTTGAATTAGGGAAAACCTGAAAAAAAAAAGACAAAAGGAAACTTTTTTGTGTGTTGTTTTTTTTTTCAAGCTTTCCCCTACCTTTTCAGCCACGTGCTACTTATATCCTTAAATGATAATATGTTTGATAATAAATTTTTAATAGCCCCTACCCCCAAATAATTATTCATAGTGGGAAAGAATAACACTAGCAGGTTTTTCAACGTGGAAGCTTCCACTTTTTTTTTTAGATATTCCCTCCCTGCAAGTGCAATGCAAAAGTGAATCATCATAATTATTTATTTAACAATATATAATTTAGAAATATAGAATTGCTGCGGGCAGAAAGGTGGGTGCAAATACAATGCACGCTTTTCTCTCTACTCTTGTCTGATCTGCGGAATATTTAAAAAAAAAAAAAAGTCCTCTTTCAAAATATTTGTAAACAGAAGGACTTGAATCATTGCGAGTCCAGTGGATGAATGAAAAGACAATTGGGAAGTGGGATAACATTTCATGAGAATTCCACGTTGTAAATAAAACCGCACAAAATTTCACCAAACTGGCTAATGCCCAGTTAGATCAAGAACAAGATTATTTTTAATTTGAAACATAGTAACCGTTCCTTTAGTGCATTCTAGAAAATGAAATGTGCTCGACGGATAAATTGCAGATGATAAACCATTTTTTAATCCAAGTCAACAATTTTTTTTTTTTTGCCTGATGTTGAATAGTTCTCCAAAAGATGTACAGTAAAAGGAAAGTTATCTGCAAGTATACCAAGCCTCGATTTGAGGAATTTCAATAAACTTGATGAATTCTTACATAAAACTTTCAAATATCCCAGCTACAAAACATGTTCAGATTTAACGCTGAAGCAAGGCCAGCAAGGGCAACTCAAATTTATAAAGAACTCAGATTTTGTTTCTAAATTTGACAATTCAAAGAAAGGTCTGCAGTAGGCCTACACACTGAGACTTAATATCTAGATATTTTAATGTCTAGCAGTAATTCAGTAATAAATAACGAACACCAAGATTGTGAAAATAATGGATGTGGATTAAGAATTTTATAGACCAAATGTGACTACAGAACACATTAGAACTTGTGAGAATTTTGCAGTATGCTGCTATACCTTACTGAAAAAGTATAAATTATATTCAGATGCATATGCAGTAGGGCTAATTTCTGAGTAATAATAACTTGTCATAATTTTTTGCTGACTCTTCCGCTATCCCAAGTTTCAGGTACCGTATCAATTTTTTCGAAACAAAAATTGGTAATACTTTAACTTAAAGTCCACGGAAATCAACTTATCTAAAAACAAAGTGGAAACATTTATGGTGATGAACGGTTAACCAGACACTAAGCTGATGAAAGTAAATTTATCAGAGGGACAAATAAACGATGTCTTCGCAAATCATAGCAATGAGCCTCTCAATTAATTATGGTTTTTCTTAAATTTTAAAATTATTTTATATAGCATATTTATTTTCGATATTAATGATACAAAAAAGTTAATTTAATAAGTAACTTATTTATTTTATTTAAAGTTTATTTAAATATAATTTATTCCCCATAATTGTAATGGGTTGATATGCCCCAAAGTCCTGGTGCGGGTGCCGAGTCTTCCAAACGCCGCGGCCGATTTAATCCTTAGATCCGCCCCTAAATGTTCCATTAAAACTTTCCAGACCCGTTTTTGCATTTGCTATGTCTGATAAAACTAAAATACATGTTTTTTCCCAATAATATTAATAGTTAAGTAAAATTTAAAGTAAACAGAAAGTGTTGAAAATAAGTCAACAGTAATTTACTCGCAATGTCCTGCCTAAAACTGTTGCGCTGATTTGCTTAGGTGATGTTATTTTCGGTAATATAAACATTACCTTAATGAATTTGGTGAATAGAGAGACCTCTGATGTACCGTTCTCCATTTAAACTTAAATTATTTTAATCCTGGTTCTTTTATTGTTAAACAATTTCATCAAAAAAATGTGTGAACGATGCGTGCGAGAAGAATATCCCGATAGGGTAAGCAATTTAATAAAACTGAGTGAAGTTAAGATTGGTAAGTCTGACTAAGTCACTAAGTCTTAGACTCTCAGTCTTGTTTTAGTCTTCTTATTAAGTTACACACTAACTACTATTATTATGAATCATGAAACTATGATAATGATACTATTATATGAAACATGATAATGATACTATTATATGATTGATACTACTATCAATCATAATCAATTACTCCACCCCCATGAATCATGATGAATGCCATGATCACATGACTCATGACTGTACTGTAGTCTTTAGTGTTCGTTTTAGTTTACTTTACTATAGACTAGTTAGTATAGATAATTAGGTTAAAGTTAGTTTATAATTTATAATATATTTATAGATGTATAAACTATAATTATAACTATACTAGAACTATACACACTAAAGCTCACCAAAAAAAGGCTGAGTTACTGAGTGTTTTAGTTTCCTTAAATTTTACTTAAATTTATTTTTAGCAGATGGCATTAAAATAAGACTATAATTAAGTTGTAGGACTATAAAAGTATAAGAAAGAAGATGGCCAAAAGTGTCCCCCTTGAGTCAAAACCGTGGAGACATGGATATCCACCTGAAGTCATGGGCAACAATTGCGGGGGAGGCATACGGAGACTCAACAATGTGTTACGGACCTCAACTATGAATTATGTAACCATTTGTTGCTTGATTAGATTGATTGGCAATGACTGCACAGGGCAGTGAGGGTGTATTACAGACCATTGTCCCCTTCCACAATTGTTGTGTACTGCCTTTATAGAAGGCATAATGCTGACTGTAAATAGGGACAACTTTACTCTTTAGAGTCAAATTTTGTCATTTTCTCACAACATATTTACAGGAGTCATTATGTGTAGATCAAGGATCTTATATGATCAATTTTTTCAAGTGTTGCCAGTGTGGAGCACAGGACATGACGACAGTGAACAGGTCTTGCACAGACTCAGGCGATGAGGAGATAATAACATATCATCGTAGGTGTACACTTTTCTCTTTGGTTCTAGATTGCTTCATCTGGTCACATTTGATCAAGCTGGTAAAGAACTGACATAAAATTCAAATTACTATATTCAAATACAAAGTAAGATATATAATCTAAATATGTCAATGATTACCATCTGAATTCCATGAGGATGAACAAATAAAATAAAGCAAATTTATACAAATTATTAATTAAATTTTACCTTGTATTCAGATTATTAATAACTAATAAAGAAGTCAAAAAAAAAACAAAAAAAACCCACAACTTTTTTTTTTGTTTTGGTTATGTACTTTTAAAAAAAGAAATTTCCATTTGATAAACGTTCCTATATTAAACAGTCCCCTAACAAAATGTATCATTCTTTTTTTTTCATTTTAATTTTTTTTTAAATTTGATTTACACTAACCAAGTTTGGCAGTTTGGAAGCTACTAACCATATCTTTTAGATTTACTTTGTCACATATGGCAAGGAAGTAATTAGGTTGAGGATTTTAATGTTTTGAAAGGTTTCAGTAAAACATAACAAATTCAAGCATAATAATTGCATATTTTGATTTCAGATGTTTGCAGCCAGTGTGATCATGTGATAGCTGAGCATGAGCATACATTTCGGATTGAGGAAGAATTTCAGGTCTTACATAATCATATTAAAAACCCATTTAATGATTTATGTAGCTTTAAATATTTGTGAAAAATTTAAGTGACATTTAGTGAAATTCAAATTCGGTCTTGGTTTTACAAGCCTCTGGGTATTACTCGATGTATTTTAAATCTCACATGACTCGTGTTAGTTTATGATTATTATATTTTTTAACCAAGCTGATGAATCAATTTTAAAATGAAATAATAATGGTAGAAAGTAGAGTGACTAATTTACCATGGAAATATGCTAATCCCTGTGTTATGAGAAAACTCAACTGTACAATAATTGATATTATTACCAGCTTTTTATTTTTTTATCATGTTTTAGAGGCTGACTGAATTTCGGCTTCAGGTTCGGCACCGAAAGTTTGATCACTTTTGGCGTATTTTCAGTTTTGGCCGAAACAGAACAGTTAATTTTTGGTTTATTCTTGATTTCAGCCAAAACAGAAAAGTTAACTTTCCGTTTATTTTCAGTTTCGGCAGAAACACAAAAGTTAACTTTTGGTTTATTTTCAGTTTCGGCCAAAAGTGATTGAGACTTTGGGCCATCTTGCCAAAAGTGCTTGAGGTTTATGTCATCTAAAAGAAGTCAGACTGTCTGTCTTTCTCTAGGCCAGCAATCCCATTCATTATTGCTTGACGCCTTGCTGTCGTCGCATGTTATATGACACATCCTCTTCCAAAACGATCATAGCTGTATGATAACCTACTTGTCCTTTATTTCCAAAAATTTTATTTTATTTAGGCCTAGGCAAATGTAAATACTGTTGTGGAAGGGAATAAAAATTTCGGAACCCTAGGTTTATTCAATTTATTCATTATGATATCCAATTTGATTTTATCATTATCATGCTCATAAATATTGTCATAAGCAAAAGTGAATAATATTGAATAATCCTAGGAATGCTAATGTTTCCATTATTTTATTATTTAAAAAAAAAAATAAAAATAAGGGAAAATTAGGCTTTTTCAATCCATTCATTTTTTAAATGTTACTGACGAAAAAACACACATGTGCATTTATCACTGGTCCAGACCTGTTTACTCTTATGATTTGGCATACAATGCACGATTTTGAGGTGTATAGATTGTATATACTATATGTTTATTTTTTACTATAAATATAACGTATTGAACAATTTTGTGATGATATTGTATGATTTTAAGAGTTTGAGGGTAAACAGGTCTGCTGCTCCATATAATAATTATGTAGTAGGCCTACTGCAGACCTGTTTACTTTGATCAATTTGGCGACCAATTTACGATTTGAGATGTCTTAATGATTCTAATTCTATGCCGAGACCCATCAGAACTACAATTTTAAGAGACCCAGTTAAAAAAAGGGTTGGGGAGGTAGGTCACGAGACGTGTCTACCCTTAAAATCGTACAATTTTTCAATACATTATCTTAATAGTACACAAATAAACATACAGTATATATAATGTATACACCTCAAATCATACATTGTACGCCAAAATCGTAAGAGTAAACAGGTCTGGGTCACTGAACGAAATAGTTACGTCACCAGCATAGAAAGACTAGTGTGTTGGTACTAGGCTTAATATTACTACAACAATATCTAGCCAGCTATTTATGAAATCACAAAGCACTAGTATGCAGATAACAACAAAACAATGAAGTGATATTTATATAGCCTAAATAACATATATTTAGGTTACAGTTGACTCTATTAGAGACTGTCAGGATAATTATTGTAGATATACGTTTAGGTAGCGTTGTAATTATATTATAAAAGTGAAGGGCATCTCTTACCATCTCTTACCATACTACTTTAAAATACATTTTTAAGAACTCTAAATTACTTTTAATTCAAATATTTCAAATGGTAAAAAAAAAGTACTCATTAGATGTTAATTTATTAATATTCATGATGATCTTCTTTTAAAAAAAGTATGTAGATCCAGATATTAATACTTTCCCATCATTTTTCAATGTATGCGTGAACGAATTTCAAAATATCTAAATCTTTCGGCTTCTATTTCAGCTGAAAGTCTCGTTTAGCTTTCGCTTTTGGCCCGAAGGTCATTTGAAAATCACTTTCAGCCAGTCTCTATCTTATTTATTAGTTTTTATTCAGTTTTTTGGAAGTCTTTATACAGGGTTTAGACTTCTATAGATTGACATGTATGTCTGGTCTTATGTTATAGATTGACATGTATGTCTGGTCTCATGTTATAGATTGACATTTATGTCTGGTCGGTCTCATGTTATAGATTGACATGTATGTCTCATGTTATAGATTGACATGTATGTCTGGTCGGTCTCATGTTATAAATGTAATCTCAGATTGGTTACCCTCGTCACATCTCTGTGATTCATTAAGATCTCTAGCCTTTAAATCTAATATCTCTTTCAATATCTATTTTACAGGTCACTGAGCTTCTTGTATGTGTCAGTTATTTTAATGTGTTTATATTTCAGATCTACTCCATGTCTTGCATGTTGTGTGGATCAGCTGAAGACCAGCGAAGCATAATGCCAATTGATCCAAGAGGTCCTGCTATGTAAAGACTTGTGTATCAAACATTTTACTTGTACAGGCCAACTGATCCAAGAGGTCCTGCTGTGTAATGACTTGTATATCAAACATTTTACTTGTACATGCCCTTCATCCATCAGGTCCTGGTTTGTAATTGCAATTCTAACCACAGCTATCAGTTCACAGAGAATGGTTCCACCTCAGTTTACCCTGTTTCTCAATGTTAACATTGTCTGCCTCTCAGCAAGAGTTAGCAGGTTGGATTTCATCCTGACTCGTCCCAAATGCGGGGTAAAATAGCTGGGCGAAACAGAATCTTTATTTAGCCAGGCGATGCAGCTGTTCTTGGAGAGGAGATAAAGTCAGTGACCGCGGCCAACTTGACGTGGGATTAAAAGTGGTCCATCTGTGCAAAACTGTATGTTTATGGTCTTATTGGTTAACTGTCTTAAAATATCTGGGGCATAAAAAAAAAAACCAGTTAAAAAAACATTTAAATTTTTAATTACTAATTTTTTTAAAAATCTTTGGAATTTTTACACAAAAAAAATTTGTTTTCCAAGTATTTCTCAAGTGACTGAAACAATGAGTCACGGTAAAGTATGGTAATTATCTTTCATTATCATCTATCATGCTAATGGCTTTTACTTTTTGCCAGAAATAGGGTGCACTGATTAATTGCTAGATTATCTCCCATTTTGCTCATTTATGGGCATCCATCTGTTTTTACATTATATTGGGCTAGTAGAGTTAGAGATATTGCTTTTTTGCACAATCTGAGATGTACAGGTAAGATTTATTGTAATCCTAGATTCTTTAAGTTGAATCTTTTATGCTTATATGGGATTTTGTAGTGTCATAAAGTTGCATTCCTGTTTCCATTTAAAACAATTTTTAAAAATTTAACTTGTTACATATTTAGCCCGCTGTGCCTAGATAATAATAATAATATTAATTAAGTTTATTTGAAAATCACGCTTCATCCCCACAGGCTCGAAGCACGGTACATAGTCTACTATATAAAAAGAGAAATGTGAAATCTATATTTTTTACCACATTGAAATAGAAAACACAACACTACAAAAACTACATACGAGCATACTCATTCAAAGTCTTTCATCCCTTGGAACCACAAACAATACAATCCAATATACATCTAGGAGATATAGCTAGCTGGAAAAGATGGTTGACAACACCATCCCAGCAGGTGTTTGCAAAATAGATGTGTTTTCAAATCGGTTTTAAAGGACTCCAGTGTCTGACTGTTTCTAAGAGCGACAGGAAGGGTGTTCCAAATTTTAATATATAGAACGTATAGATGTTAAACTTTCATTTTGAGAACCACTGAAAAATTTTTTCTTCAGGCTTGTCAGTCAGAACATGAGCTAACTTTTTATCTAATGATGAATACCGGCATGGGAAGATTTTGAGCGCTGTGTTTTATTGAGAGTTGATCATTTTCTTATGCACTTCAAGAATATCATATGTACATGTAGCGTGTAACATTTTTTGTATGCAGATTATCAAATGGACAAAACTTTCACTGACTACACATGAAATTTGTTTTTGATTGTAAAAATTATGCATTGTGATTAACTTAAGTTAAAATATTTAAATGGATTTGATAATGTAAAAAGTTGCCAGCTTCTGAGAGACAGAACGTTACTTCTTAAGATGTAGTCAGTCTACTGTACACATGTTTGGAGTGTAGTGACAGACGCAAATTAAGTCATTAGTGACTGCCTCACATTAAGTTATTAGTGACTGCCTCACATTAAGTCATTAGTGACTGCCTGACATTAAGTCATTAGTGACTGCCTCACATTAAGCCATTTGTGACTGCCTCACATTAAGCCATTAGTGATTGCCTCACATTAAGTCATTAGTGACTGCCTCACATTAAGTCATCCATGTTCAAATACCATGTGAATCTGTACTTAAATGTGCTGAAAATTAATATTTACAATGTAATAAAAAAAAAACATTTTTTTCGAATCAATAAAGCATCTTATCTTGTCTTATCTTACTTAAAAATAAAAATCTTTTTATGGCATTGAAATTATTGCCCTTGGTGTTCATTCACTAAATTTGATCAAACTTCATGTCAACATGTTATGTTAAACCTTATGTTAAACAATATTCTTAAATCTCATATGTAGAAGGTCGATCCCTAAAACTATTATCAGAGCTATACATTTAAATAGATTACTATGGTGAAATTATTTCACTATACCGGCTCTGGGGGTAATCAATATACACTTGATATTTTTGTTCAAATCAATAACTTCAAGCTGATTATAAACTACAGGTATTTTTGTCAAACATCTCCTCCCAATCTGTTGCAATTATCTAACATGTCTTTTAATAAAAAAAATTGCCTATAATGATTACCAAATTGAAAAATAAAAGGGATTTGAAAATACTGTATTAAAAATAGATTAATGGAATGGCCAGCTAAAGCTACAAATAGATTGTGCCAGGAAGCCTCGAGAAAGTGACACAATGAACATTTCAATTATTTGAGAACACTTGAGAGGATAAAATATGTTTAATTTTTATTTAAATAAAAATCTTTATGTAAGGAGATGCTGCTGAGGTAGGTCAGCACACTTAACACTTGAATTTTCATGTAGCATCCTAGTACCGGTACAGGTTGTGGATACAAACCTATATCCAGGTCGTTGATACAAACCTATATCCATGTTGTTGATACAAACCTACATCCAGGTTGTGGATACAAACCTATGTTCAGGTCGTTGATACAAACCTATGTCCAGGTTGTTGATACAAACCTACATCCAGGTTGTTGATACAAATCTACATCCAGATCGTTGATACAAACCTACATCCAGGTTGTTGATACAAACCTACATCCAGGTCGTTGATACAAACCTACATCCAGGTTGTTGATACAAACCTACATCCAGGTTGTTGATACAAACCTACATCCAGGTCGTTGATACAAACCTACATCCAGGTTGTTGATACAAACCTACATCCAGGTTGTTGATACAAACCTACATCCAGGTTGTTGATACAAACCTACATCCAGGTCGTTGATACAAACCTACATCCAGGTTGTTGATACAAACCTACATCCAGGTTGTTGATACAAACCTACATCCAGGTTGTTGATACAAACCTACATCCAGGTCGTTGATACAAACCTACATCCAGGTCGTTGATACAAACCTACATCCAGGTCGCTGATACAAACCTACATCCCGGTTGTTGATACAAACCTACATCTAGGTTGTTGATACAAACCTACATCCAGGTTGTTGATACAAACCTACATCCAGGTCGTTGATACAAACCTACATCCAGGTTGTTGATACAAACCTACATCCAGGTTGTTGATACAAACCTACATCCAGGTTGTTGATACAAACCTACATCCAGGTCGTTGATACAAACCTACATCCAGGTTGTTGATACAAACCTACATCCAGGTTGTTGATACAAACCTACATCCAGGTTGTTGATACAAACCTACATCCAGGTTGTTGATACAAACCTACATCCAGGTCGCTGATACAAACCTACATCCAGGTTGTTGATACAAACCTACATCCAGGTCGTTGATACAAACCTACATCCAGGTTGTTGATACAAACCTATGTCCAGGTTGTTGATACAAACCTACATCCAGGTTGTTGATACAAACCTACATCCAGGTTGTTGATACAAACCTACATCCAGGTTGTTGATACAAACCTACATCCAGGTCGTTGATACAAACCTACATCCAGGTTGTTGATACAAACCTACATCCAGGTCGTTGATACAAACCTACATCCAGGTTGTTGATACAAACCTACATCCAGGTTGTTGATACAAACCTACATCCAGGTTGTTGATACAAACCTACATCCAGGTTGTTGATACAAACCTATGTCCAGATTGTTGGTAGAAACTTAGGTTCAGGCTGTTGACACAAGTCTATGCTTCAGCGTAAGTTGCTAGGCTCAGTGGACACAATGTTGTAAAGCTGTTAAATAGTATTTCAAATTAAACCCCCACCCAAGCACCCGACCACACAGCAGCCAACCACACAGCAGCCAACCACACAGCAGCCGACCACACAACAGCCAACCCCCGACCAAACAGCAGCGCCCACACAGCAGCCAACCACCCAACCAAACAGCAGCCGACCACATAGCAGCCAACCACTCGACCACACAGCAGCCGACCACACGGCAGCCAACCACCCGACCACACAGCCGCCAACCACCTTACTGCACAGCAGCAAACCACCTTACTGCACAGCAGCCAACCACCTTACTGCACAGCAGCCAACCACCGGACTACACGGCAGTCAACCACCCGACCACACAGCAGCCAACCACCTTACTGCACAGCAGCCAACCACCTTACTACACAGTATCCAACTACCTTACTGCACAGCAGCCAACCACCCGACTACACAGCAGCCAACCACCCGACCACACAGCAGCCAACCACCTTACTGCACAGCAGCCAACCACCCGACCACATAGCAGCCAACCACCTGGCTACACAGCAGAAACCATCTGACCACATGGTAGCCAACCACCCGACCACGCAGCAGCCAACCACCCGACCACACAGCAGCCAAGAACGTACAAAGTTATGGCATTGTAAAGTGCAAAGCAATAAATATTGACACGCCTTGCATGGTCATTTATGCATGCATACACAACACATTAAGGACTGCCGGCCAATGCTTCATCACTACATCACTGCCAGGTTTACTGCCATCACACAACACGCCCAGGTTTAGAATTCCAATGAGACAACAGTTCAGACTAATGTCCGTAATGTTGATACCACGCCCAACAAAACGCCATGAATACATTAATACCTGATTTTGGTGCTGATTATTTTACTGGAAATGCCTGGTCAGTGTAAGATTTGTCTGGACATATCTGGTCAGTTTTATATTTGACTGGACATATATAGTCAGCATTATATTTTACCTTATATATATAGCCAGTTTTATATTTGACTGGACTTATATATAGTCAGCATTACTTTGACTTGTATCCGAAATTTGTTTGAAAGAAATTTTGTCGACGGAAAAATTGATCGACGGAAATTTATCGAACGGAAATTTGGCCGAATATTCTTTTTTAAAAAAGCTCATACGTTAAAATTTTGCGTCATATTTCTTTTTGAATGCATTATTTTTGTTTTACTATGTAGTACTGTGCGTTTAAAAGGAAATCGGACGATCAAATTAATTGAAGACGAGGAGTTAAATGTATTTAAAAACCTGTATTTAAGAACCTGTATTTAAGAACCTGTATTTAAGAACTGTAAAATGTACTTAGAATCCCCGAGCACGTCGTATTTGGTATCGAATGAATTTTTTTTTCTTCAGTATTTAGATAAATATAGCTTCCTGTCAGTTACGCAAGTTTACCGAATACTTGAATCGGCGCTGAGTCATTGTCATTACGGCGTTTTTCTGACCCAATTAAAGGGTCACATCATTTCTGACTCATCAACCCTGAACTTTTAAGAAAGCACGCATTCGGATTATTTACATGTGTGGAACACTTACGTGTGTCCGGTTATCCTTTTATGAAATTTGGTTAAACCGAACGGTGTGTGCTCGCTGAGATGGTGTCACCCGGTGCGATCCGCATCCCTTGCACCCCACTAGCTACGCCACTACACTCATAGTGCATTCATGTCTGAGTTAAAAGAATGTAAACATAAAAGTGGCCGATACATGCACCGAGTGTCATGTTTGCACCGTCCGTGAACTGGGACAATATATCTCCTAAAGAAATGTTGCACCAAAGAAGAACGCTGCATGTTCTGGACAGTAGCAAGAAATCGATGATACATTCTGCATGCATATTGTGTCCGTTGCTTGTTTTATCAAACGCCGAAGGGAAGAGTTTATCTCAAACATAAAACGTATTTGCCTCCACACAATAGCGATTGTAAATGTTCATTGTAAAACTTAGACATTTTGTGCTACTGTACAACAAAGGCTCACTTGCTTTTTATTTGTTTTGTTTATTTTTTTTGGGGGGTCAGTAAATCAAGCAATGTTTGATTACCTTTGGCGTGATGAAAGTTTTCATCTGTCGTTAGGATTAGAGATGAACTTATTACACAAGCTGCCCATACATATTCAGAGGAGAAAAAATTGGGTTGGGGGGGGGTGCCTTAGATACAGAATTTTAAAAAGGATTTTAAACAAACTTTCGTTCGTACATTTGATGCCATTTTTGTATGAAGCCTTGTCACAACTTTCAAAATACTATTTGGATCAAATTTTCAGTTTTGTACAAAAAAAAAAAAAAAAAAAAAAAAAAAAAAAGAGCAAACAAAAAAAAAAAAAAAAAAAAAAAAAATAAATAAAAAAAAAAANGGTGGGGAAAATGCAAGGCCGGTGGGTTGAGCACTAAGTTGTAACTGATGCTCCGTTCACACGAAAGTTTCAGATTTTCGTTCATACAGATGATGCCATTTTTGTATGAAGCCTTGTCACAACTTTCAAAAAACTATTTGGATCAAATTTTAAATTTTGAACAAAAAAAAAAAAAAAAGAAAAAGAAAAAAGAAAGCAAGCACAAAATAGATTCATAAGACACGAATTAATTAAATATAACAATATAAGTTAAGCTTTAATAATAATTATACATTACACACAAGTAAACGTTTCGGCACATGCCTTCATCAGTACAAACAAAACACATTTAAATAAGTATAAATTAAATTTACATAATATCAATATACATATCCTACCTAAAAAAGAAAATAGGAGAGGGCGCTGAAACCAGACAAAAACAAAGTAAAGAGGAGTGGAAATGGTGCGTTCAAACAAACAAAAAAATTAACGTAAATCTAAAGCTATTTTGAAAAGAATTTGATCGTGTTAACTTACGCTAATGCTCAGTTCACACGATCACATTTCTGTCAAATTTCTTTTTTGATTCTGTGAGCTGAGTGTAAAGTTATTTAATTAAAATAATTTGTTTTGTCACAGTTAGCAAAAAAAAAATTTAAAAAAATTACTGTTTTGTAAAGTAAAGATTCGCACCTTGTAGACGAGTGCTATTA